TTTTTTTTGGTTTTTCGAGACAGGGTTTCTCTGTGGTTTTGGAGCCTGTCCTGGAACTAGCTCTTGTAGACCAGGCTGGTCTCGAATTCACAGAGATCCGCCTGCCTCTGCCTCCCGAGTGCTGGGATTAAAGGCGTGCGCCACCACCGCCCGGCCTCTCTTTTGGTTTTTTAAGACAGGGTTTCTGTAGCTTTTGAAGCCTGTCCTGGAACCAGCTCTTGTAGACCAGGCTGGTCTCGAACTCACGGAGATCTCCCTGCCTCTGTCTCCTGAGTGCTGGGATTAAAGGCATGCGCCATCACCGTCCAACAGCTTTATTTTCTCTAACATATAAACCCCAAAGTAATTGGAAAATGTTTTATTAAAAAGTTAACAGAGAGTGAGGTGTGGGGGCTCACACAATCCAGCAAGCAGGAGGCTGAGACGAAAAGGTTGACAGTTGGGCTGGAGAGATGGCTCAGTGGTTAAGAGCACTGACTGCTCTTCCAGAGGTCCTGAGTTCAATTCCTAGCAACCATATGGTGGCTCACAGCCATCTATAATGAGACCTGGCGCCCCCTTCTGGCTTGCGGGCACATATGAAAGGAATGCTGTACACATAATAAATAAATAAATATTTAAAAAAAAAAAAAAAGAAAGAAAAGGTTGACAGTTTAGAACCAGCCTCAGCTGCACAGTGGCAGGCCAACCAGGGATACAGAGCAGGAGTCTCCGAAAAAAACAAAAGTAAATGTTTAGACATGCATCTGCAAATGCACACGTTATGTGCAGCACATTGCAGGAATCGTGAAAAGAGTTTTCACAGTTTGAGACTCCAGGTGTCAGCTGGGCATCTCACACACTCTTCCCATTTTAACAACGTCTGCAGCACAGCTCTGGGGAGATTGGAGGAAGCAAGTTCGATGAAGGATGGAGGCTGGCAGGCTTTGGGGTTGGCTCAACATCACTAGGAAAAACAAAACTTAGGGTCTGCCTCACTGAAAAACAAAACTCACTTTTGAGAATAAAAAGCAAGCTGAAGAGAGGTGGCACACACCTTTAATTCCAGCACTTAGGATGCAGAGACAGAATGCGGATCTCTGTGAGTTCGAGGCCAGCCTGGCCTAAGACAGTCAGAGCTGCACAGAGAAACCCTGTCTCAAAAGAGAAAGAAAGAAAGAAAGAAAGAAAGAAAGAAAGAAAGAAAGAAAGAAAGAAAGAAAGAAGAAAAAAGATTAAAAAGCAAATTGTTTTCTTCTGTCCATCTTAAAATGGCGCTGAAAGGCTCCAACTAAGCAAGGCCTACTTTGCAAATGCCACAATGATAATGGACCTGTCCACAAGAAGATATTTCCTCCAAGATAAAGTCACTGATTGCCACACAGAAGTGCCCATGGTCCAGGGTCGGGGTAATTTTGAAAAGCAAAAACTTCATTCTGTAGTGTCTGTGTGTGTTTGCTGCGCATGTGCCAGCATGAATCTGTAGGCTGGAGGACCACCTTTGGGAATGAGGTCTCTCCCTGGCATCAGATGGGTTCCAGTGATCACACTCAGGTGGTCAGGCCAGTGGCAGCGAACACCCTTAGCAACTGAGCGTCTCACAGGCCCTTTGCTGGTTTGTTGGCCTTTGTTCCCAGTGCTGGAGCACACACCACAAACACTACCACTGAGCTACATGCTCCGCCCTAGGTTCATGGTTCCTTAGCTAGTTGTATCACAAACAGGACGTACAATTAAATGAGCACTCTGCTTTGTTCCATCCCTCCTCCCCAAGTTCCCAGTTGGCTCCTCCCAGAAACATTTGGATATAGTGGATATCTTCCCCTTTTTATTTTGTTTTAGCCACAGTCTTGATATGTAGCAGCCCTTGGCACCCAACCATGAGTGTCACCCCAAGCCACACCAGCATGTACCGAATAGCAGATAAGAAACCGGCAGTTAAGAGACAGAAATGACCTGGCTGATCTACAAAGAGTGAGGAGTAGGGTCAAAAGTGCTCTTGGTGGGTAAACACTGCACTCTCAACACAGGAAAATAAGAGAAAAGAGTCAGGCACCCTGAAAACTGTTCATCTGAGGCCAGCTGTCTATGTATAGACAAGCCAGCCCTTGCTTGATTGGATTTGATGATCACTGAGAAAACACGAGGTAAGAGAAAGAGAAATCATGTCTGCTCCATCATCAGGTCCTGGGCCTAGCTCCCCCTCCGTGCTGTTGGATTGCACCCCCAATACTACCCACATCGTGTGTTTGGGGGGAGATAGCATCAGGAGATCCGCGGGGGAGACCGTGCGTCTTGGGGTCACTAATTCTCAAAGGAGCATTACCGTCAGTGTCGGAGTGGATGACGTCCACAAACTGTGCGTCGCTGGGATCTAATCTGTCCTCAGGAGGTTTCCCGTTGTACAAAGGGCCCGCAGGGTCCAGACCTAAGAGAAAAAGCAGAGAAGCTTGGCAGCCCCACGCCATGAATCACTGAAGCTGTCTTTGATCCCTCCTGGAGAGGATGGCTCACGGCTGCAGGGCACGCTTGGGTGAGTAATTATTAGCATCCCATCCCGCAGCCAGGACTCCGGTCCAGAGGGCTTTCTCCCACAGTGTGGATGGTTACCCTGGCAGTGGCTCTGAGAACAGCAGTCAGGGTGCATGGGGTGGCCCAGCGGGGGAAGGGCCCCACAGGTGAGGTCAGAAGGGTAGAGAAGCTCCACCAGCAAAAACCAAACCACGGGAGAGTGTGAAAGAGGAAAAGGTAGCTCTGGGATTTAAACCCTTGTGCGTGAAGCTACACCCACTGCATCCCCAGTCCTTGACTTTAAGACAAAGTTCCATCATAGAGACCAGACCGTCTTGAATTAGCTATGCAGCTGACCTCCAGCTGGATATCCATCTGCCCCAGTTTCCTGCGTGCTATTAAATGAAAGGCATCAATTAAATCAAATTAAGGCATTAAATTAAATTAAAGGCACCCATAACGTCTCTGATCTTCCCCACTTTAAGGATTTTAGGAATTTCAGAAACCCTCCTCAGCTCTAACTTCATTCATTTACTAACTCATTTGAACCACATCACAGAACCAGGAGACAGCAGTTGGCCAGCACAATCCCATTCTATAGCTCCTGAGACCCAGACGACTCAAGCACCCTGGCCAGACACTGGCTCTGAAGTACATGCCCCTCCATCTGCTGTGCTCAGGGTCTCTCGGCACCTAGCAAAGCCAAGGCAGCTTTGAACCCCGCCCCCCCCAGACCTGGGTTTGGAAGCTCCTGTCACACTACAGAACAGGCCAACCAAATGCATCCCATAATACCTGATCTGATTTCTTCATCTTGGTCAGTGTTAACTGGATTTTGTTACCACAGCAATGAAACACCCGGGAAATCAGGGGAGCCACACTAGGGATTCTAGACCCACACAGTGAGAACTTACAAAGCAGCGGAGTGTGGCAAAGGCCCCTCTTATTAGACCCCTGGACAAAGAGAGTTTTAAGGCATCTTCCTTAGAAGTTTAACCTATTTGGTTTAAATTCACTTTATTCTGGTTCTGGGTGCTGGAGAATGAAGCCAGGACCTCATGCATGCTAAGCAAGCGTGCAGCCACACAACTAGTCCCCGTGGGTGTCCCTTCAAGGACACCTCCCCTTCCTGTGTTCCACACACAATCTAAGGGGCAGAATCCTTGCTTCTGTTAGCAAGGTTTTCTTCTCTCCCAATGTCCTTGGGATCCCTAGAAACGTTTCTTCATCCACCTCCCTCCTTTCCTTACTACTCCACCCCCAGCCTCCTGCTTCGGTCTTCTCCAAGTGAAACTTGTGTGGGAGGGTGTGAGGTAATACCCAGTCACTCGAGGCCAACAGGTGGCCTCCACGCAGCAGGTCTTCACACAGCTGGAAAAACCTCCACAGCTTTGTAAAGAATTTACTCAGAAATCCCCCCACCCCCATCAGTCACCACCAACCACTTCCTGCCCCCAAAATAGAGCGAGTACCCTGGCTTGGAGCCTCCTATAGACTTGAATAAAACATTTAGCTTGGGGTATTGAGAGGAGTGGGTGTGCAAGCCACACCCCAGGACTTATAAAATGGAAGTAAAATTATAGTCCAGAACCTGAACCCATATCTGTAATTAAAAGTTTTTAGAAGTCACCTAAAACGTGTGTGTTGCATGTATGAGTATATATATTAGCAAGTGTGTATGCCTATGTGTCTGTGTGTCTATGTCTGTGTCTGTATGCATATGGAGTCCAGAAGTTGTCATTGGTTGTCTTCCTCCATCCCCCCTCCATCTTATATATTAAAGTAGGGTCTCCCACTTGAACCCTGTCTAGTCCAGCTTGCTAACTTGCTCCTTCCTCTGTCATCCCAAATGCTGGCATTATAGGTGAACCCCACCACCTCCAGCATTTATGTCGGTGCTGGGGATCCAAACTCTGGCTCTCATACTTGCTTGGCAAGTGCTTTTATCTGCTGAGCCATCTCCCAGACTAAAATGCTTGGAAAACAAATGGGGACTTGATTTTAAGAATATGAAGGGGGCTGGAGAGATGGCTCAGTGGTTAAGAGCGCTGGCTGCTCTTCCAGAGGACACAGGTTCAATTCCCAGCAACTGCAAGGTGGCTCACAACCATCTATAATAGGATCTGGTGCCCTCTTCTGGCATGAAGAGCACTCTGTGTTGGGGTGTGTGTGTGTGTGTGTGTGTGTGAGAGAGAGAGAGAGAGAGAGAGAGAGAGAGAGAGAGAGAGAGAGAACTATAGGACTGGAGTGATACTTCAGCAGAATGTTGCTCTTCTAAAGAGCCCAGGTTTAGTTCCCAGCACACAACCAGGAGATCTGATGCCCTCTTTTGGCCACATGGTTCTGGCACACACGCGCGCGCGCGCGCGCACACACACACACACACACACACACAAAATTTAAAAGTAATTTTTTTTTTCAAAAGAGCATAAGGCTGGGGAATATAGCTCAGATCCTAGAGTACTTAACTTACATGTGGTGATGCCATGGGCTCAATGCCCAGCATACAAAATATTAAATTAAAAAATTTAAATTTCAGCTGGATGTGGTGGTGTATGCCTTTAATCCCAAACTTGTGCAGAAGAGGCAGGTGTATCTGAGTTTGAGGCTAGCTTGGTCTACAGAGTGGGTTCCAGGATAGCAGGGCTACACAGAGAAACCCTGTCTTGTCAAAACCAAGAAAGAATAAAATATTAAATTTTAAGCCAGATGTGGGAGAACTTAAGAAGCTAAAACAAGAATATCTCGGACTCAAGGCCAACTTGGGGGGGGGAGGGACGGGTGAGTTCAAAACTAGTCTGGATACTGTGGGGCCAAGGGCAACCTGGCCATACATAATGGGGCCCAGGCCACACAGCTAGCTGCCACGGGAAGCAGCACCGGGCTCCAGGAAAAGCCATAAGCTGACAGCAGCCAGGGAGGGGCATCAAAAGGGAAGTACCTAACACCCCAACCATTAGATAAGATTAGATGAGACCACAAGATGTTCCTGAGTCCAGGACTCACCTCTTCTCCTTTTGCCCAGACCCCTAGACAAAGGTCAGCCATTCAGGGTCCTGATCCCTGGAAATCCCCTCACCCCAACCTCTACTGTGGTAAAAACCCTACCCTGACTGTGCTTGGGACTCTCAGCCGCTGTGTCGGACAGATGGGGAGTCCAAACTTAAGCTTGAAGAAAGGCTCTTGGCGTTGACATACAGGACTCGGTCTTCTAGTGGGTTTCTGGGGGGACTCCGTTATATCTGGGCATAGCAGGTACAGAGGCACTACCTCTCTCAAAAAGACAAAAATGTTGATGGCCCAGGGGGTAAAGGCTCATGCCACCAAGCCTAATAGCCTGAGTTCAACCCCAGGACCTATGCAATGTGGAGACCTGACTTTGTGAACTGTTCTCTGGCTTTTACAAGCATGCTGTGCCACACATATGCACCCGCACACATATACACACAAACAAAATATATAGAAAATAAAACTTTTATGTTTACAATTAAAATTGGTTAACATCTTAATTAAATATTAAATATAATATTAAATGTTTAATTATTTTAACTATAAAAGAGAAAATATTATTTAAAAGTTTAAAATAATAGACAAAACAAAACCAGCCAGGTCTCGTATATCGATTACACTTGTAACCCCAGCACTTAGGAGACTGAGGCAGGAGAATTGCCATGGACTTACGGCCAGTCTGAGCCTAGTGTAAGTTTCTAGACCTGGGCTGCAGAGAGATATCCTGTCGCAGAGGAACAAAAACAAACAAAAAAGAAACCAAAACAAAAAGAACCCAGTGTATCTAAAAACTGGCATGTCAATGTAACCAATATTAAATGTGAGATTTGCTTTCTGTTTTATTTTTGTTTTTTTTCTGAACCTTAGTCTTCAAAAGCCAGTGCATGTTCTGCACCTACAGCCCATCTCAGTTTGCACTGGGTGCGTTTCAAGAGTCTAGTGGTCACGTGCAGCTAATGGCTAATGTGTTGTTTTTCCAAGGGTGGTGGCCAGACCACCTGCATCTGCAGGCTGAAAATACAGACTCCTGATCCTGGGAGCATCTCATGACAGAGCCTGAGCCTGGCATACCTAAGACTCAGGATTCATCCCAGCGTCAAATGTATGTATGTATGTATGTATGTATGAATGAATGAATGAATGAATGAATCTAAAGAGAAGTCAAACTGAGAATATGCCTGGAGAAGAGGAGCGTAAGAGAGGAAAATGGCAAAGCCAACAGGCCAACCTGTCCTTGTCTCAGGAAATAATAGTGACTTGTGTCCTTGGGTGACAGATCACATTCCCACCCTGTGATCCAGTGAGCACACCCAAGCCAAGCAAGGATACTGGGGCAGAGAATTCTCCTGAGGCTGCGGGCACTAAACTTGAGGCTCAGAGCTGATGAGACCTGGGGACGACGTCATGGAGGTAGAAAATTGACATGTGTCCAGGTCACAGGTCAGGTCACATGAACCTAGCAGAAAGCCTGGCTTGGGTAATTTCCATAGTTAGAGGTTAGGTCCACTGAAGTTCACAGCAGTTGGAAGGACAGATCTGTCAAGGGGCACAGGAGAGAACAAGGCACTCGGGTAGAAAACACTTGGCCCAGGCGTGGATTTGGCCAATTTCTTCTTAGCTCTGGTCAATGACATCAAGTTGGTAGCTTGAGGTTATTCACTACGGAGGAAGTCAGCACAGAAGCAGCAACTGCTATAAGTTAACACCCCGCACGACCCCACTTCAACACAGCCTGGGAACAAAACAGTCCCACCTACCAGAAAAGGGACTCCTAAAGTGACACCAACCCGAACCAGCTGATCTCTCTCTCTCTCTCTCTCTCTCTCTCTCTCTCTCTCTCTCTCTCTCTCTCTCTCTCTCTCTCTCTCTCTTTCTTCCCCACCCCCATTGTAAAATATACTGCTATAAACTTTGAAAACTACTTTGTTTCCCTAGAAAAGTGTGTCAATTGGGTAATTGAGGCAGCTTTGGCCTTTGGGAAAAGTGGAAGAAAAGAAAACACCCAAGACAAACTTTGGGAAGCAGTGCCTGCCAATGGGTGGGGGAGGGGGTGCTGGAGTGGTGAGCGTACCCCCCAGATATATGTTCTGAATCATCTACGTTTCCTCTCCTCCCATACACGTCTATCTCACCGGCCCCCTGCATTTAAGACTTAGCGTAAGAATGGAAAGGTGAAAAGTTCTGTGCGGCATCCCTCAGCCCTGTGAGCAGCTGTGGAAAATTCCTAAGCTCCAGGCAAGAGGTCCAGAAAAGAAGTCTTTGTCCTTTAGGTTTTGACCTGCTGCAGTTTGGCATGTTTTCATTCTGAGTTTGCTAGAAAGCTGATCTTTATAGACAGCCAGGCCCAGCCACCAAACAACCCCCCCCCCTTCCCTTGCAGCGAGTCCCCAGCCACGCCTGGAGAGTTAACTATGTAGTTCAGGCCAGCCTGGATTAAAAACAATCAAGGGAATCGATCAATATCCCATGGTATATTGCTGGGGCGGGAAGCGGCTATAAGAGAAATAAAGTCACCGCCAAGCCTTTCTATGACACACCACGATCTGTAAAATGCACTACATATATTTTATTAAGTCATAGACCGAGGTTAATGTTATCAAGGATTAGGTTGCCTGTTCGGCGCTCTCCCAGGTGAGACATGGTCAGTGACATGAACCTTACCTGTGATTCTTCCCAGCTTCCCAGCGTACATTTTTCCCACAAATCCAGATATGTGCGCTCCTAGACTCACTCCGATCATGTAAATGTTGTCCAGAGATGCTCCGTTGGCCTAGAATTCCATTCATAAATTGTGAGAGTTCAGGAAATGGATGGCATTTGCGGGGATGTCCCAGCTGTCTACTTTGGAGGGATATTCTTAAGTACCCTCCGTCTGCTGTCTCACTTTTTTGTAGGTGGGCATGCACACACATCTATACACTTATATGTGCTGTCCAGAGGGTGAAAGGTCTTATGCCCGGAGAGATGGCTCAGTGGTTGAGAACACCTGTTGCTCTTACAGAGGAGCCAGGTTCAATTCTCAGCACCCAAACAGCAGCTCACAACTGTATATAACTCCGTTCCAGGGGATCTGATGCCTCCTCTGACTTCCGTAGGCACCAGACATGCATGTGGCATACATGCAGGCAGGCAGGCAAAATACATGGAGATATTTTAAAAAGAAAAAATAAATCTTTCCTTTTAAGTCAGCTGCCTCCCTCAATTGCGCTCCCCACCTTATTTTTTTGAGACAGGATTTCTTAGTGAACCTGGAGATGGCTGACTTTTAGACTAGCCAGCAAGCCCTAGGGATTCTTCTCTCTCCCTTCCTAGGGTCTGGGATGAGAGGCAGGCACTGTGCACTACTGTGAACTACTGTGCCCAGAGTTTTCATATAGGTTCTGGGGGGTGAACTCTGGTTTTCATATTTGCACACCAAGTATTTACCAACTGAGCCTACTCCTGAGCCCCTATGGTCTTAATTAAATGTCACAAGCAGGCTGGAGAAGTAGCTCAGTGGCACAGCACCTGCCTCATATGCCATAAGCCTTAGGTTCAGTTCCCAGCACGACAGAAAAGCAGGGACCATTACAGCATTCCGCAATGCCAATTCTACTACTTTAATACACAAATGAGGACATCGAAGTCCAGAGTTGAAGTCATCTGGCCCAAGGAAAACAGTACAAAGCAGAATTCAAACCAACCTAACCACAAATGTGTGTCTTTTGGTGTCTCCATCCTGACTGCTGGTCATTGAGTAGGGACATTTTTAGTAGGGATTCCAGAAAGTGGGGGAGGGGATATAACCCTGAAGGCAGACTGCTGAACAGCTTGCTCTGAGTCACCACACATTATCATGTACAGCTCATGTCACCACCAGACACAGTGGTCACCGCAAGCAGTGCTTTTGCTATTGTTTACAAAGGGCAGCTCCACTGGGCTGTTGGTAGCGCATGCCTTTAATCCCAGCCCTCTGGAGACAGAGGCAGGCTGCAAGATGAAGCTCCTTTCACAAGGCTTTTTGCCATCATCTACAGAAGAGTGTGAGGCCATAAAATCTACAGCATTTACAATGATATTGCCCCGTACCCCTTCCTTGTGAGGTGGGTGATGGGAGCAGCCACACCCCTTCACCGGGTCTACTCAGATTGGTCCAGTGTTTCTCCAAACGTCCCCTACCATTCAACCAAGTGATGCCCCTTTGGCTTTAAGCTCCCAAACAAGTAGCCAGGGTCATCTAAGGGGAAGTCTCTCTTACCAGCATTTGGTCGATAAATTCCTTCAAAATAAGAGCTACTCTTCTGGTCTTGTCAGAGGCGTGGGTGTATATCACGGTTGTCGCTCCTCGGTTCCAGTCAACAACTACCACGTTCATCTCTTCTACATGGAGCAAACTCAAGACCAACTCCTTCATCCAAACAGGAGGGGAGCCTGTTGGCCGGAAGCCATGGATAATGAAGGTGGTTTTTTTGGTCACGTTTAAGCTCCCCAGAGCCGTGGAGTTGATGAGCTGCGCACAGGGCTGGTTTCTCTGTGTGTAGAGCATCAGCCTCACGTTTAGTTCTGTGCCAATCACCGCACTGTGGAAGCTCAGTCTGGTGAAGGACGGGCATGTTTCATCCGTGTCTGGAAATCAGAACAAGATGGCATCATGCAGTGCCTCCTACATAGCGTATCAGGCAGAAAAGTGTCATGATCCACTCCGTGGTGCATTTACAATTCCTCACAGTGCCTTGCAGGGCCTGGATCTTTTCACCTGCGTGAAATTGTAAGGTCATGCTTGTTTGAGTATTCCTAAGAAATGACCCCTGGTTGCTCTAGAAATCTTTTTCCAGACTCTCTCAAGGTCAAAACCACAAGCTCACTGAAGCCTTTGGCTACCCTTCCAGCCATAAGCATATCCTCACTCCCCAACTCCGTCAGAGCCTATGTGTGCCTCACAGCACAGTGAAATCCCTTTCAGGATGTATTCTGGGTGTTGTGCATGGGTGTGTCTGCCTGTGAGACCTGTTGAATGGTAATTTCTAACCTGTGTGTCCTCAGAGAGACAGAACACAACACAAGAGTCATCAAAGGGTCTTCATGGTCTCTTGTGCCGCACCCTCAGCTGTGACAGTGGTCAGAGTGTGTGTGCCCTGCCCTGAGCCCCTGAAACTGCAGGCCATGTCAGCTGGTGATAGCCCCCTTTCTTATCAATTCCTCAAGCTCTCCTGTCAGTCCTTCATGTTGTTAGTTGAAGATGTGTTACATTTGCTTATGATGTGAAACATTTATTTAATGATGCAAAGATGCATTGCATTCTTTTATGTTGCATTTGTTTAATTCTGTGAAGCTGTGTTGCTTTGCCTGTCTAAAACACCTGATGGTCTAATAAAGAGCTAAAGGACCAATAGCAAGGCAGAAGAAAGGACAGGCAGAGCCAGCAGGCAGAGGGAATAAATAGAAGGAAATATCTGGGAGAAGAGATCAAGAACCCTAGCCCCATGACCAGACATGGAGTAAGAAGGAAAGAAAAGTTATACAGAAATAGAGAAAGGTAAAAGTCTAGAGGCAAAAGGTAGAGGGAATAACTTGAGAAATACTGTCTAGAAATAAGACAAGCTAAGGCCAGGTATTCATCAGTAAAAACAAGTCTCTTCCGTGTGTTTATTTGGGAGCTGGGGAGCTGGTCCTCAAAGAGCAAAGAACATAGAGTCAAAGAGCCAACGAGTAAAATAAAAAGCCGGCAACACCTTCAATCTGCAGAACAGCCCTGGGAGGAAGTTGGGCTCAAGGAAGACACAGTACAAACCTGGAAGATCTTTTCATTGCCGCTTGAGACCAGATCTTAATATAGAAGCTGTAAAGTAAGCCTAGCTTCAGACTTGCTACGTAGTCCAATCTAGCCCCACATCTGCAGCCTTCCTATCTCACTCTCGTAAATTCTAGGACTGTAGCATGCCTGGCTTGGAGCATCGCTCTGGGAATGTCGCTCAGTGGGAAGTGTTTGAAGACTGCTTCCAGTCGCTAAGGAAGAATCAGCAGCAATATTGTAGAGCAACTGGGCAAGGCCTTGCTCAGTCACCACTCCGGGGCACTGCAGAAAGGCTGGTGAACTTTGAGTGTCTATAACGACAGAGGATGACGAGGCCACAGTGCCACCGTTCCAGCGCTGACCTTGGAACTGGAACCCAACTGTGACAACGCAACGCATAAACATAAAGTGAGAACCACGATCTGTCTTCTTGACAAACGATCACCATAATAAATAGTGTAGGAGGGCTGTGGAAATGTTCTAGATTAAAGGATTCCAGAGACAGGATAAACTAGTGCATGACTTTGCCCTAGGGTAGCTCTTGCGGTAGAAGAAAAAATGCAATAAAAATTGATATCTAGGCAATCAGGTATAAGTGTGGCATCGGCTTTCAGTTCACAGAGACAGATAGTCACATGATGGTTGGTGTGGTGTTTTGGCTCCCTTAGGCTCATATATGTGAATGCTTAGTCATCAGGAAGTGGACTTAGCAGTGACTGTCGCTGGGGCAGACCTTTGAATAACTGCTTACTGCTTTCTGGAAGAACTTTGACCTTGAAAAATCACTGTAAAAAGCAGCAAGGAATTTTTATGGAAAACAGTGGTCATTTTCCATGATCTGTGGAATTCTTTTCCTGAAGGGACGTTGCAGCCATCCCTTGACTTTGTTCACAAGATGCCTCAGGCCCACCTGAGGCTCTTGGATTATTGTGTACTGGAAATGGCACACCATAAAGGACTAAAGTCATGAGGGCCTGTGATGCTTTACTTTAGAGAGACGAACAGATTAGATAGGACCTTGGTATGAGGAAATACTTTACCCCAAAACCAACCTTGTATAACAATCAATAAATCAATAAATATGCCTTTGCCCAGCTGTTTGGAGTTCTGTTCATCGGAGACTGGACCTTCTTGCTGCCACACAGGCCTTAAAATTTCATCTTGAAGTGTTTTCTCTCTTGGATCAACCCACGAACCAGAGACCACTGTTTGAGGGGAGTTTAGGAGCTGTGCCTTGTTGGAGTGGGTGTGGCCTTGTTGGAGTGGGTGTGGCCTTGTTGAAGGAAGTGAGTCACTGTAGATGGACTTGGATGTTTCAAAAGTACAGTGTAACTCCTCTCTCTCTCTCTCTCTCTCTCTCTCTCTCTCTCTCTCTCTCTCTCTTTCTCCTCTCCTCTCCTCTCCTCTCCTCTCCCTCCCTCCCACAATCCCTCTGCCTGCAGTTTAGGATGTAGCTATCAACTATCCCTCCAGCCCCAAGCCTACCAAGATGATAACTGACAAACCTCTCAAACTGTAAGCAAGCTCCCAGTTAAACACTTTCCTTAGAGACCTTGCTGCGGTCACTGGGTCTCTTTGCAGCAACAGAACAGTGACTAAGACATCATAAAAGAGAAAACCCCAATGCTTAGAAACTATAACTAAAGCATTTGAAGGTACAGGGCCAGACTTCTTGACAAATGGTTCAGAAAGTAGAAATAGATAGCTAACTGATGATGAAATGTGTGTCAAAGTGTTCAGGGCTGCAGGATGGGCTTAGAGATTGAGCACAGGCTGTTGGAGGCCCAGGAAGTTCCACAAAGAACCAGTAAGTAAACCTCTGCAAAGATGTGCTGCTGTTCTGCGTGCTCCCTTATTCCTGTAGCCTTTCTAACAGTGTTCAGTTCTTTCCAAGTAAGCAGAAAGAAGGAAAGGGCAGAGATGCAATCGTGATGGGCAGAGGAGCAGATGGATTGTGAACAAGAACATCAGAAGGTAAAGTTGGCCAGATATGGTGGCACATGCTTTTAATCCCAGCATTCAAGAAGCAGAGGGAGGTGGATCTCTGTGGGTTCAAGATTGGCCTGGGCTACATAGTAAGACCCTGTAAGAAAGAAGAGAAGGTGGTGGCGGCTGTAACAAAAGCAGGGCTGGGGGTGTAGCTTCATGCTACAGCATGAGCCTAGCAGTATGGATTCAGTACCTAATAGTACAAAAGAGGGAGGAGGAAAGGAATGGGGAGGGGAGGGTAGAGGAGGGACAGGGAAGAAAGGGAGGAGAGGCAGGGAAGGGAAGAAAGGAAGTAAGGAGCAAATGTAGGTAGATGCTTGAGGCTTTGTTTCAAAGGGGAACGAAGGAGATTTTTAAATAAAACAAAGGTCAAGTGGCAAGATGACAGAGGTAGGGGCTGGGGTGATGGCTCAGCTGCTAAGGGCACTGACTGCTCTTGCAGAGGACCTGGTTTTGTTACCCAGCATCCACGTGGCAGTGCACAACTTCCTGTAATTCCAGTTCCAAAGGTTCTGCTGCTTTCTTCTGGCCTCCAGAGGCATGAGGCACACACATGCATATATTCATGCAGCAATATATTCATGTAATATGTGTGCTTGTGTGTGCATGTGTGTGTGTGTGTGTGTGTGAGGGTGTAGAGATAAAAGAGGTAAATGAAGAGTTCTGTGGTCCCTGGGTTTGGAATTTGACAGAATCTGGCTTTTGCAGTCATACATAATGCTTCAGTCAAGAGCTGCTAGGAGAGGCCTTGGGGGGCTGCTCAGAGGCAGAACACACGTGTGCACAGGGCCCTGTGCCAACTCCAGACACCAGGAGACAAAAGGCAGAGAGACAAATAAAGGTGTGCTGTGGACTAGTTTTTCTGTACACTGGTGAATATGTATTGCTTTCATTGGGGAACAACAAACTGACCGGCCAATAGCTAGGCAAGATTTTTCAGGACAGAGAGGATGCTGGGAAGAAGGACAGAGTCTGGGGAGTCACCAGCCAGACTCAGAGGAAGCAGGACATGTACAAAATGAGGAAACAAGCCATGAGGCACGTGATAGAACTTAAATAAGAAATACAGGTTAATTTAGGCTGTAAAAGCTAATTAGTAGCAAGCCTAAGTTATTAGCCAATCATTTATAATTAATATGAAGTCTCTGTGTGCTTATTTGGAAGGGGCTAGTGGGACAGAATGATCTACAGTCTGACAGAAAAGTTCGCTTACAAAAGGTGAAAATGCTAATTGGTTTCCAAACACAATGTAATGACCAGAAACCGCATTATTTGAAATACAATTATTTGCAAACCATTCCATAAGGCACTATCCCACATTCTGCTTCACTGAATGAGGGCAACTTGCTTGGGAGCACAAGTCACAACACCAAGCCGGAGAGCATCTTCTGGGGCAAGCCAGAGAGGTGGTAAGGGGCCAGGGGTGGAACAGGAGGAGAAGACCACAAACTTGCAATGGGCCACCAAAAGTCAAGGGAACCTTGGGACACCACAGGACACCAGAAGGCAAGGGAACCTTGGGACACCAAGGGACACCAGAAGACAAGGGAACCCTGGGGCACCATGGGACACCAGAAGGCAAGGGAACCCTGGGACGCAATGAGCCATCAGAAAGCAATGGAACCTTGGGACACACTTGTTCTGAGTTCCCTCAATGGAAATTTGAGAACTAATTTGTGCTGGTCAGTTTTTTGTCAACTTGACACCAGCTAGAGTCATTGGGCTACTTTTGATCATGGCTTTTATCGCAGTAATAATAACCAAAGTAATACACAATGTTCTGGACCCTACCTCTACCCTGGTATAGTCAGGCATGGCTTAGGTAGTTAGTAGGTCAACGATT